AAAAGGCTCAATGGCTAGTGTATAAAACTGCCCCGATAGAGGGCATCCTTGTCTAATGCCCCACCTCACCCAGACTGGCCTACTGAGCCCCCCCTCCCACCTTGACCATACATGACGCCCCAGCATACAACATCTTCACATAGGCCAAAAACCTTTCCCCAAACCCAAACACAGACATCACATTAAACAGATACTCATGGTCCACTCTATCAAAAGCCTTCTCTTGATCTAAAGAGACCAGTCCAAAGTTCACATTAGAACCTCTCGACAAGTCCAACATGTCCCTGATTAACATTTTAGTCATTTTAGCAGACGCTCTTATCCAGAACAACTTACAGTTAGTGAGTGCATACATTTTTTTTTTCATACTGGTCCCCTGTGGGAATCGAACCCACAACCCTGGCGTTGCAAGCGCCATGCTCTACCAACTGAGCTAAACGGGACTAAGAACAAGTTGTCCGTGATTGAGCGTCCTGGTATGCAATATAATTCTGGTCCTTGTGTACTATAGAGTCCAGATGGGACTTCAGTCTGTTAGCAAGGACCTTGTAGTCCACACAGAGCAATGCCACAGGCCTCCAGTTCTTAAGTTCACACAAGTCCCCTTTTTTGGGCAGGAGAGTCAGAGCCGCCCGACGGCAGCTCATCGGCAACTCTCCTACCCCGACGCACTCACGCAACACGCAAAAGAAGTCCAGTCCAATTATTTCCCAGAATTTATTATAAAACTTCACTGGGAGTCCATCAACCCCCGGTGCACGGCCACGGGACATCTGGGTTACAGCCTCTGCCAGTTCATGGGACAACAGGGGAATGTCCATTTCATCCCTCTGTGCCAGAGAGAGCTTAGGGAGTTCTGCAAACAAAACCTGAACACACAAAGGATCACACAGTTCTGCCCAATACAACTCAGTATAAAACTCCACAGTCTGCTCCCGCATCTCCCCCACAACAGAGGTCACCCACCCATCCGAAAGCCGTAGACAATGCATACCCTTAGCTTCACCGCTCTGTCTTTCCAAACCAAAGAAGAAGGAGCTGGGAGCATCCATCTCCTTGAGCATGGAGAACCTAGCTCTTACAAGTGCTCCCTTTCCTTTACTTGGAAAAAACTGCCCAGGTCCCTACGTAGTTCAGCTAAATTAGCCTGGAGGCCTACATTGCCTTGCCCCACCAGCTCTACCTCCATCTCACTAAAACTACGCTCGAGTTCCCCCAATACTCTCCTAGCCTCTGCAGATGAGAGAGCTGTATACTGTTGGCAGAAAAGCTGAATTTGGACTTTTCCCACATCCCACCATTGACTCAGAGACTCATACTCCTCTCTTCGGTGCCCCCACCTTTCCCAAAAAGTCTGGAAACCTGAGCAAAAAGTGGCATCTTGTAAGAGCTTTACATTAAACTTCCAATAGGATGCCTGCCGAGGCCCTGGTGAAATAGACAGCCGAGCCATGGTTATGTGATGATCCGAAAAACACACCGGGAGAATGTTAGCGCCCAACAGCCTATTGCTTTGATTTCTGGACATGTACAATCGATCAAGCCGGGCTGCGCTCACCCTAGCCCCAAAGACCTTCACCCATGTATACTGTCTTGTGTTGGGATGTCTAGTTCTCCAAACATCCACTAGGTCAAACTGATTAATGATGTCCCTTAACACCCCCACTGAGCCTGAATGAGGCTCCTCCCCATTTCTGTATTTCGTAAAATCCATCTTACAGTTCCAGTCCCCGCCGACCACCAGCGTCTCCTCAGGCGATACCTGTGAGAGTTCCTGTCTAAGACACCCAAACAGAAGCCCCCTCTCTCTCCCTGTGCTAGGTGGATACACATTTATAAAGACAAAACCCCTGTTGTTAATTTCTGCTTTTACTACAAACAGTCTACCCCTACACACCTCTTTTGAGGAGCAAATTTTGACAGACAGACCTGGTACAAAAAGGACTGCCACCCCTGCACTAACATTTGTCCCATGGCTCAGCACACTTAACCCTTTCCACTAGAGCCCCCAATCAACTTCATTCACCACATCACTATGCGTCTCCTGCAGAAACAACAGTTGTACTTTTTTGTTTGTTTTACATATTCACCCAACACACTCCTCTTTCCCGCATCTCTGGTGCCATTAATATTAAGCGAGCCTACCCGAAGATTCTCCATAAGAAGTGACAAGACCGCCTACAGGGAGGAGGTGAGGGCTCTGGGAGTGTGGTGCCAAAAAAATAACCTCTCACTCAACATCAACAAAACAAAGGAGATATTGTGGACTTCAGGAAACAGCAGAGGGTGCACCCCCCTATCCACATCGACGGGACCGCAGTGGAGAAGGTGGAAAGCTTCAAGTTCCTTGGCGTTCACATCACCGACAAACTGAAATGGTCCACCCACGCAGACAGTGTGGTGAAGAAGGCGCAACAGAGCCTCTTCAACATCAGGAGGCTGAAGAAATTCAGCTTGGCACCTAAAACCCTCACAAACATTTACAGATGCACAATTGAGAGCATCCTGTCGGGCTGTATCACCGCCTGGTACAGCAACTGCACCTCCCGCAACCGCAGGGCTCTCCAGAGGGTGATGCGGTCTGCCGAACGCATTACCGGAGGCAAACTACCCGCCCTCCAAGACACATACAGCACCCGATGTCACAGGAAGGCCAAAAAGATCATCAAGGACATCAACCACCTGAGCCACTGCCTGTTCACCCCGCTATCATCCAGAAGGCGAGGTCAGTACATGTGCATCAAAGCTGGGACCGAGAGAATGAATAACAGCTTCTATCTCAAGGCCATCAGACTGTTAAATAGCCATCACTAGCACATTAGAGGCTGCTGCTGCCTATTGAAATCACTGGCCACTTTAAGAAATGGAACACTACTCACTTTAATAATGTTTACATATCTTGCACTACTCATCTCATATGTATATACTGCATTCTATAATATTCTACTATATCTTAGTCCATGCCGCTCTGTCATTGCTTGTCCATATATGTATATATTCTTAAATTCCATTCCTTACTAGTTTTGTGTGTATTGGGTATATGTTGTGAAATTGTTAGATATTACTTGTTAGATATTACTGCACTGTCGGAGATAGAAACACAAGCATTTCACTACACCCGCTATAACATCTGCTAAACAAGTGTATGTGACAAATAAAATTTGATTTGACTTGAAAAGCAAGCAAAGACAGAGACCAATAGCAATGCTCAAAAAGCCCCAGTGCCATAAATAAAACTTTAATCTAAACAGTGTCTGAAGGTAGACCTTTAAGCACAACTTGTGACCCACTTCCTCAACATAAACCGTATCCTGGGTGTGAGGACACCATGCCCCTCATTTTTCGTAGCATGTTGTACTATCTTACAAACTTTCCCGGATTGCAAAAAACAGCCTCAAGATTAACTTTTTTCCCCTTAGTCTCATTCAGCAACCTTGACAGTTCCCTCACTGTGTACTTTGACCCCTCTGCCTGACTGGCTGTCAGCTTTGGATCCATTGACGAGGAGCCTGAAAAGAAAGCCTCCTCATCTTCCTCTTCCTCAGACTCACCTTCCTCCTCCTCATCTCCATCTCCCATCCTGACCACCTGCCCTTCCTCTCTAGTCGGGGCCTCACCCCCAGCACCAGGCAAAGGTTCCTTGGTGCCTTTCACCACACCAGCCTCTCCCCTCACACCTCCTTTCTTCTCCCCCTTTTTCCTCTTCCACTTGACACCCCCCCCTAGTCGCTTCCCCTTCCCCACTATACTCTCCTCACCTATTAGCATAACCTGACTAAGCCCAGCCTCATCTACACCACCATCCATGACATGACTAGACCCAGTCTCAGCTACACCACCATCCATAACATGACTACACCCAGCCTTAACTACACTACCATCTGTAGCATGACTAGGCCCAGCCTCTGCTGCCTGCGTCTCATGGCCCCCTGCACGTTGACCTCGATTTCCCCCACTGGTGCTTGAACCCTCACCTTGTCTACGGCCTTTATGTGGGCACGCAAAGCTCTTATGCCCCAAATCCCCACACTCAAAGCACCGTAGACTATCTGTGCTGGCAAACCCTGCGTAGAGCCCCTCCCCATGCCTCACTTTAAAATGCACATTTAACTGTTGCTCATTGTTATTCAGAAACATGAACACTTGCCTCCGGAACGAAACAACATACTTAACGGCATCTGCCTGAAAACCTGCCGACAGTACACGAAAACTACTAGCAAACTTACCAAAATGACTCAGCTCCTTCCTGATTTGACCATCCTTAATCATCCGCAACTACCACCCTAGTCGAAGAGGTAGAAAGAGGAGAAATTGGCACCAACACACCCCTTACAAATATTCCACTAGAAATGAGCCTACCCACCAAATTTGCTCTTTTCATGAACACAACCACAGCTTTGTTCATTCTAGAAGCGGAATGTATAAATTCAGCTCCTACCTGTTCGCCGACCGCGAGCAGAACCTCCTCCACCTTAATTCCATTCTCGGGAACACACCTGAATCCATGCCGTAACGACAGCGTCTCCTCCGTGCTAGGCTGCGAAGCCATCGCTCACACCACACCGTTCAAAACCCCAGGAAACTAAACCTCGGTCCTCTTCCTCCCTAACTTTGAAAATAAAAACAGTGGGTACCACTAAAACAAACAGTGCATTAACCCTCCACCATAGAAAATAAATTAGGACAGAGCCCTCCACACCAAACACTCAAACTCCCAAAAACTCCCAGCATGCACAGAGAGAGAGAGAGAGAGAGAGAGAGAGGAGAGAGAGAGAGAGGAAGAGAGAGAGAGAAGAGAGGAGAGGAGAGAGGAGAGAGAGAGAGAGAGAGAAGAGAGAGAGACCAGTATGAGGGAAGTTAGAGATAGTTTCGCGTGCCAATGCTAGGTAGTGTTAGCACAATTGCTGGAAGTCTATGGGTATCTACTAACATGAACAATACTATTCAACACTATACAATACTATGCAATACTATTCATCCATTGTATAAAGCCAATGAAAATGGAAGATGTTGCTGTCACAGTACCCAGCTTCACTGAGGAGTGGAGGCTAGCCCAGTTAGATCACTTCCTGACTAGATTAAATAACACGTAACAGTAAAACTATCGACCCACATCCAGCACAGGACTGGTGTGTGTGGTGTGTGGTGTGTGTGTGTGTGTGTGTGTGTGTGTGTGTGTGTGTGTGTGTCTCACCCTCATAATGAGAGAGGGAGAAAGTGTGTGTAGAATGATATCATTCAGTTTTCCCTCTATCCCAGGGGTGTCAAACTCATTTTAGCTCAGGGGCCACATGGAGGAAAATCTATTCTCAAGTGGGCCGGACCGGAAAAATCATGGTATATATAACTTAAAAACAACAACTTCAGATTGTTTTCTTTGTTTTAATACGATCAACATACAACATAAAGCTGGAGCCTGAGGACAGTGTGTCCAAAATAGTACAAGCACAACATCACTATTAATCATAAAACACGTCAAGTTTATTTGAAAATTCTAAAGAAAAAGAACACACAAACACACAATGCCTCAGTGATTAACAGAACGGTTTCACAGATCACAGAACTATATCAGGGTGTCATTTCTCAGGCAGAAATGTAGATAAAAATAATGAAATCCTGTTCCCCAAACAAGTGCAAGAACCACAGAGTCAAGAATAGGTTAAATATACAAATAAAATAAAATCAATTAAAAACAATAGCACATCAACATATAAACATATAAACATAAAGCTGGAGCCTGAGCACAGCACCTCGGCTTAACCATCTTACCTCAGTGTGGTATGGCAGGCCATAGATGTGGTCTTTCTCTCTGAGAAGGCTGTCAAACTGACGGTGATTCAGGCTTCTGGATCGGATGAAATTAACAGTTTGGATGACCACCTTCATGACGTTATCCATCTTTAATGACTTGCAACACAAAGCCTCCTGGTGCAAAATACAGTGAAAAGTCAAAAAATCACGTCCTCCATTTGCAGATTGCACTTTCTCTCTGAACTTTGTCACAACGCCTGCTTTTTTCCCGATCATTGAGGGCACACCATCTGTAGCCAGGCTGACAGCGCGGGACCAGTCCACTCCGACCCTGTCCAGCGCGCCAACGAGTGCGATAGAAATATCAGCTGCTGTCGTTGTATCTGTCATCGGCACCAACTCCACGAACTCCTCGGTGACGGTCAATGTGTCATCAACTCCGCGGATGAAAATGGCCAGTTGTGCAACATCTGTAATGTCCGTGCTTTCATCAATTGCAACCGAAAACGCAATAAATGACTTTACTTTTTGCTTCAACTGGCTGTCCAAATCCACTGAAAGATCGGAAATCCTGTCTGCAACTGTGTTTCTTATCAGGCTGATATTTGCAAAAGCCTGCCGCTTTTCAGGGCACACAATCTCCGCTGCCTTCATCATGCATGTTTTTACAAATTCACCCTCACTAAATGGTTTTGAAGCCACTGCGATTTCATTAGCAATGAGGTAGCTAGCTTTCACTGCAGCGTCACTGATGTCTCGGCTGTGAGTAAACACAGACTGCTGTTTCTTCAGACCCGCCAACAGTTCATTCACCTTCTCTCATCTCCGCTGTCCTTGAAAGTTGTCATATTTGTCGGCATGAAGACTCACATAGTGGCGACGAAGGTTATATTCTTTCAGCACTGCAACATGCTCTGAACACACCAAACATACAGCTTTCCCATTCAATTCCGTGACTAAATAGGAGGATGACCATTTTTCTTGGAACACTCTGCACTCTGCGTCCACTTTTCTCTTTTTTGACAGAGACATATTGGGGCAATGAGGGTGCCAAAGCACATAATGTTAAAAGTAGAAGCCGTAATAAATATTGCGGGCAAAACAAAGTAGCTCATTGGCTGCACGTGCTTGACCTACTTGCTCTGCCCCGGTATAAACAGTTTGCTTGCTTAACACAATTGCTATTGCGCCATCAGTAGACGCAATTGGAACAGCAGTTTATTTTATTTAAAAATTGCAGCGCATTTTTATACTTTACAAAATTATTATTATTATTATTATTTTTAATTTTTTTTTATCATCTCGCGGGCCGGATTAAACCCGTTTGCGGGCCTGATCCGGCCCGCGGGCCGGACGTTTGACACCCCTGCTCTATCCTCAGACAACAGTAAAAGAGGACGTTAGTCAAGACTATTGAACAATATCCCACCTTCTCCCCAACCGTTTAATAAAATAGAACAGAAAACATTAGACCTATCCAGACGCTGCAGACAAAGAGCGGAAGGGTGTTTGATGTCATTACCAGGAGTAAAGACACAGAAATTATAACCCTTCTCACCTTCTGTCCTGTTGGCTCTGTCAGTGTGTCTCAGTGTGTGTTAGACACTTTCTCACCTCTCCTGTGGTGTGTGTGTGTGTGTGTGTGTGTGTGTGTGTGTGTGTGTGTGTGTGTGTGTGTGTGTGTGTGTGTGTGTGTGTGTGTGTGTGTGTGTGTGTGTGTGTGTTGTGTGTGTGTGTGTGTGTGTGTGTGTGTGTGTGCGCGTGTGTGCGTGCGTGCGTGCGTGCGTGCGTGCATATATACTCAGCTCTGTCGGCTCCTCTCAATGTGACGATCAGAGAGCTGGAGGCGAACACAGCCATAGTCACATGGGAGATAGTGGAGGGAGATCCCGTCATCGGATTCGCCATCACACAACAGGTAGAGGAGTGTGTGTGTATATACAGTCGTGGTCAAAATTTTGAGAATGACACAAATATTAATTTTCACAAAGTCTGCTGCCTCAGTTTTTATGATGGCAATTAGCATATACTCCAGAATGTTATGAAGAGTGATCAGATGAATTGCAATTAATTGCAAAATCCCTCTTTGCCATGAAAATGAACTTAATCCCCCCCAAAAAATGTCCACTGCATTTCAGCCCTGCCACAAAAGGACCAGCTGACATCATGTCAGTGATTCTCTCGTTAACAAAGGTGAGAGTGTTGATGAAGACAAGGCTGGAGATCACTCTGTCAGGCTGATTGAGTTAGAACAACAGACTGGAAGCTTTAAAAGGAGGGTGGTGCTTGAAATCATTGTTCTTCCTCTGTTAACCATGGTTACCTGCAAGGAAACATGTGCCGTCATCATTGCTTTGCACAAAAAGCTTCACAGGCATGGATATTGCTGCTAGTAAGATTGCACCTAAATCAACCATTTATCGGATCATCAAGAACTTCAAGGAGAGAGGTTCAATTGTTGTGAAGAAGGCTTCAGGGCGCCCAAGAAAGTCCAGCAAGCGACAGGACTGTCTCCTAAAGTTGATTCAGCTGCGAGATCGGGGCACCACCAGTGCAGAGCTTGCTCAGGAATGGCAGCAGGCAGGTGTGAGTGCATCTGCACGCACAGTGAGGCGAAGACTTTTGGAGGATGGCCTGGTGTCAAGAAGGGCAGCGAGGAAGCCACTTCTCTCCAGGAAAAACATCAGGGACAGACTGATATTCTGCAAAAGGTACAGGGATTGGACTGCTGAGGACTGGGGTAAATTCATTTTCTCTGATTAATCCCCTTTCCGATTGTTTAGGGCATCCGGAAAAAAAGCTTGTCCGGAGAAGACAAGGTGAGCGCTACCATCAGTCCTGTGTCATGCCAACATTAAAGCATCCTGAGACCATTCATGTGTGGGGTTGCTTCTCAGCCAAGGGACACATCCTCCGAGAACAACTTCTCCCAACCATCCAATAACAGTTTGGTGACGAACAATGCCTTTTCCAGCATGATGCAGCACCTTGCCATAATGCAGAAGTGATAACTAAGTGGCTCGGGGAACAAAACATCGACATTTTGGGTCCATGGCCAGGAAACTCCCCAGACCTTAACCCCATTGAGAACTTGAGGTCAATCCTCAAGAGGCGGGTGGACAAACAAAAACCCACAAATTCTGACAAACTCCAAGCATTGATTATGCAAGAATGGGCTGCCAAAAGTCAGTATGTGGCCCAGAAGTTAATTGACAGCATGCCAGGGCGGATTGCAGAGGTCTTGAAAAAGAAGGGTCAACACTGCAAATATTGACTCTTTGCATAAACTGAATGTCATTGTCATTGAAAGCCTTTGACACTTATGGAATGCTTGTAATTATACTTCAGTATACCATAGTAACATCTGACAAAAATATCTAAAAACACTGAAGCAGCAAACTTTGTGAAGACCAATACTTGTGTCATTCTCAAAACTTTTGACCACGACTGTATATATGTGTGTGTGTGTGTGTGTCGGTCTGTGTGTGAATAAGTGTGCATGTCTGAGTGTGCGTTTGTGTGTTGGGTTAAGTCAGGGAGTTGGTTAGTAGAACCACAGTTGTTTGATGAGCAACCTTGTCTGAATCTGAGACCCATAAAACTCACATTAGCTCCCAGAGATAATGCCTAAGCTTGGGCTCAGTGGGCTTTGTCTCAGTGGGCCAAGACAGTGGGCTAGGGCAGTGGGCTTTGTCACAGTGGACCTAGACAGTGGGCTAGGGCAGGTTAGATATCTGATATCTGGTCTGTATCCTTGTTTTATGGCCCTAAACTTAACCCTAAGCCCTCCTGTTGTCATTGGTTACAGAAGAAGGATGTGCGCATGCTGCGGTACATCCAGGAAGTGAACACGACCACGCGCTCCTGTGCACTGTGGGACTTGGAGGAGGACACGGAGTACATTGTCCATGTCCAGAGCATCAGCATGGGAGGTAGTAGTCCTCCCAGCGACCCGGTCAGCTTCAGAACTCCCAGAGAGTCTGAGAAACTGGCCTCCACGGGCCCAGGTAGGTAACACACACACACACAGTATTACAAACATTTTCATTTTTGAATGCGGACAGAAAAACCCAGCAGGGAGTTCCAATGTTACACAACACCTCCACAATGAATTCCAATATTATACAACACCTTCAAAAATAATTCCAAATGTTATACAACACCTCCACAATGAATTCCAATGTTATACAACACCTCCACAATGAATTACAACATTATAAATCACCTCCACAATGAATTCCAATGTTATACAACACCTCCACAATGAATTACAACATTATAAATCACCTCCACAATGAATTCCAATGTTATACAACACCTCCAAATTTCCCATAAAGATTCCTGGCTATTCTACCGTTTTGGTACAGAGCAGCAACGCCTGGCTGTCTTTGTCAGCCCACCCAACAATGTCATTCCCATTTGTAAAGCTATAGCTGTTAACTAGAGCAACTCGTAACACCTCCAGTTTGACCATCTCCTCTCTCAGCGACCCAGATACACACAGAGAAGAGAAGGGCTTCACACAGAGAGAGAAATATATCAGCCCTTACATCACACCACAGATAAACAGATTACACAGGAGATGTTGGGAAAACATTAGGGATTGGTGCCAAGGTAACATTTAGATAACGTTAAGGATTGTTGTATTCTGGTTCCCATTTCTCAAAGTCGAAGTCAAACATTTTATTTTTATAATCATGTTTCAACGTTTAAAGGACGTTATTCGTAATGGTTGAAAAATCTTCAGATAAAGTCAAAAGAAGATGTTCTTGAGACATTGAGAATCAGTCGCGAAGGAGCAGATTATCAGAGTAACATATGTTATAACATCCTCCTAAACCACCAGATTATCAGAGTAACATACGTTATAACATCCTCCTAAACCACCAGATTATCAGAGTAACATACGTTATAACATCCTCCTAAACCACCAGATTATCAGAGTAACATACGTTATAACATCCTCCTAAACCACCAGATTATCAGAGTAACATACGTTATAACATCCTCCTAAACCACCAGATTATCAGAGTAACATACAAAAAACATCCTCCAAAACCCCCAGATTACAAGAACTTTTTTTTAAAAAACATGCCCAAAACCCCCAGATTATCATAACATACTTAAACTCCTCCTAACCACCAGATTATCAAGAAACCAACTTAAACTCCTCCTAACCCCCAATTATAAAAAAAACATCGTTTAACATCCCCCTTTTAAACCACCAATTATCGAGTAACATTGTTTTTACACCTCCTAAACCCCCAAATTTATCAATACATAGTTTAAACCCCCCAAACCACCAGTTTATCAGAAACTATTTAAAAACATCCTCCTAAACCACCAATTTCAAGTACTACTTTTAAAACACCCCTAAAAACCGTTTATCAGAGTAAAAACGTTAAACATCCCCCCCTAACCACCTTATCGAAAACATCGTTAAAACATCCTCCTAACCCCAATTATCAATAACAATTTTAACATCCCCTAAACCACCGATTATCGGGGAAAATCTTATAACTCCTCCAAACCCCCAATTACAGAAACTAGTTTCCCTCCCCAAAACACCAATATCAAGTAAAACTTTATAACACCCCCAAAACCACCAGATTTAAAGTAACATACTTTAACTCCCCCAAAAACCACCAGATTATCAGAGAAACATATTTAACCCCTCCAAAAACCCCCATTATCAAGTAAATTTTTTTTAAAACCCCAAAAAACCACCAGATTATCAGAGAAACTACGTTATAACATCCTCCAAACCCCAATTCAAGAACTACTTTATAATCCTCCAAACCCCAAATTTTCAAGTACATACTTTTAACATCCTCCTAAACCACCAGATTATCAGGAAACATCTTTATAACACCTCCAAACCACCAGTTTATCAGATCCATCTTATAACATCCTCCTAAACCACCAGATTACAAAAACATACGTTATAACTCCTCCAAAAACCCCCAGATTATCAGAGAAACCACTTTATAACTCCTCCAAAACCCACCAGATTATCAGAGTAACTACTTTATCATCCTCCTAACCCCCAATTATCAAGTAACTCTTATAACATCCTCCTAAACCACCAATTATCAAGTCCCTACATTTAACTCCTCCTAAACCCCCAGATTTCAGAGTAACATAGTTTAACTCCCCCAAACCACAATTTCAGAGTAAATCGTTAACTCCCCTAAACCCCCAGATATCAGAAAAATCGTTAAAACTCCCCAAAACCCCAGATTATCGGAAACCCAACTTTAACTCCTCCAAACCCCCAAAAAACAGAAAACTACTTTAACACCTCCAACCACCAGATTATCAAGTACATCGTTTAAAATCCCCTAAACCACCAGTTATCAAGTAACATCTTTAACATCCCCCAAAACCCCCAATTACAAGTAACAATGTTATTCTCCTCCAAAACCACCAGATTATCGAGTACATAGTTAAAAAACCCTCCAAAACCCCAATTACAAGAAACAACGTTAAACACCCCTAACCACCAGATTACAAGTAACATAGGTTTAAAACACCCTCCTAACCCCAATTATCAGAGTAACATACGTTATAACATCCTCCAAACCCCGATTTCAGAGTACATTTTTATAACATCCCCAAACCCCAAATTTATCAGATAACAAAACTTTATAACACCTCCAAAACCCCCAGATTATCAAGTAACTATTTTTAAACATCCTCCTAAACCCCCAATTTACAAGAAACATACTTAAACATCCTCCTAACCACCAATTTGAGTAACATACTTTTAACTCCCCCTAAACCACCAGTTTTTCAAGGGTAACTATTTAAACATCCCCTAAACCCCAATTTCAAGAAACATATTTAAAACATCCTCCAAACCCCCAGATTATCAGGTAACAAAATTAAAAACACTCCCCTAAACCCCCAGATTATCAGAGAACAACGTTATAACATCCTCCAAAAACCCCCAGATTATCAAACCCATCTTTTTAACTCCTCCAAAACCACCAGTTATCAGAGTAACTACTTAAACATCCCCAAAACCCCGATATCAGAAACATCTTAAAACATCCTCCTAAACCACCAATTATCAGAGTAACATACGAAAAACATCCCCCAAAACCCCCCAAAATTAAAATAAAATACTTTAAATCCTCCTAAACCACCAGATACCCAGAGTAAAAACGTTTAACCCTCCTAAACCCCGTTATCAGATAACATACGTTATAACATCCTCCTAAACCCCCAATTATAGAGAAACATACATTTAAAACATCCTCCAAACCCCCCAATTTTACAAGAAACTATTTAACATCCTCCAAAACCACCAATTTCAGAGACTCGTTATAACATCCCCCTAAACCACCAGATTATCAGAGTAACATACTTAAAACATCCTCCTAACCACCGATTATCAATAACATACGTTATAAACATCCTCCTAAACCCCCCAGATTCAGTAACAACTTTAAAACATCCTCCAAACCCACCAGATTCAAAAACATCTTATAACACCTCCTAAACCACCAGTTATCAAGAACAAACTTAAAAACACCCTCCAAAACCCCAATTATCAAGAACAATGTTTTACATCCCCTAAACCACCAATTATCAAGTAACTTGTTTAACATCCTCCTAAACCACCAATTATCAAGTACATACTTTTAAAAATCCTCCAAAACCCCCAATTAAAAGTAACAAGGTTATAACATCCTCCAAACCACCAGATTGAGTAAATACGTTTAACCCTCCTAAACCACCATTATCAAGTACATATGTTATAACATCCTCCAAAACCCCCCAATTATCAAGTAACATCGTTTAACTCCCCTAACCCCAATTATCAAGTAACTCGTTAACATCCCCTAAACCCCAAATTATCAAAAACAACTTTATAAACATCCTCCTAAAACCAATTATCAGAGAACAAACGTTTAAACCCCCCTCCTAAAACCCACCAGATTATCGGGAAAACATACGTTATAACATCCTCCCAAAACCACCTTATCAATAACTCGTTAAAACATCCTCCAAACCCCCAAATTTAAATCAGGAAACTACTTTATAAACCCCCCAAAACCACCAATTATCAAGTAACATATTATAAATCCTCCTAAACCACCAATTATCAGAGTAACAACGTTTAAAGCACCCCTCCTAACCCCCAAATTATCAGAAAACAACGTTATAGCATCCTCCAAACCAAAAATTTCAGAGTAACATCTTAAAAACTCCCCCCAAAACCACCAGATTTCGGGTAATGAAACCCCCAAAACCACCAATTACAAGTAAAACTTATAACTCCTCCTAAACCACCAGTTAAAGGAACATCTTTTAAAACCCCTAAAAAAACCACCAATCATCAAGTACAATTTATAACATCCTCCTAAACCCCCAGTTACGAGTAATTTTTTAACATCCTCCTAAACCCCCGTTTATCAGATAACTCTTAAAACATCCTCCTAACCCCCAATTATCAGAGAACAATGTTATAACTCCTCCAAAAACCACCGTTTATCAGAGTAACATACGTTATAACATCCTCCTAAACCCCAGTTATCAGAGTAACATACGTTATAACACCCCTAACCACCAATTATCAGATAACATATTTAAAACTCCCCTAAACCACCAAATCAAGTAACTATTTAAAAACATCCTCCAAAACCCCCCGTTTATCAAGTAACATCTTTTAAACATCCCCCAAACCACCAATATCAGAGAAACCTACTTATAGCATCCTCCTAAACCCCAATTATAAAGGGTAAATACTTTATAACTCCTCCTAAACCACCAGTTATCAAGAAAAAAACGTTATAACACCCTCCAAACCCCAAATTTATCAAGTAACTACGTTTAACACCCCCTCCAAAACCCCCCCCCAACCAGATTATCAGAGTAACATACTTTTTTAACCATCCTCCAAAACCCACCAATTATCAGAGTAACATACTTAACATCCCCCTAAACCACCAATTTCAGGTAACATACTTTATCCTCCTCCTAAACCCCAATTATCAAAAACATCGTTAAAAATCCTCCAAAACCACCTTCAGGAAAACTTATAACATCCTCCTAAACCCCAAATTTATAAGAACTACTTTTAAAATCCCCTAAACCCCAGATTATCAGGGAACTACGTTATAACTCCTCCTAAACCCCAATTTAAATCGATAAAAATTGTTATAACTCCCCTAAACCCCCAGATTATCAGAGAATACTTTTAAAACATCCTCCAAAACCACCGATTATAAAAGGGAACAATTTTAAACATCCTCCAAAACCACCAATTTATCGAGAACATCTTAACATCCTCCAAAACCACCTTTTCAGAGTAACATACGTTTAAATCCTCCTAACACCAATTTCAAGAAACATATGTTTAACCCTCCTAAACCACCAAATTTCAGAGTACATATTTTTAAAAACACCCTCCTAAACCCCAGATTTCAAGTAACAACTTAAACATCCTCCTAACCACCAGTTATCAGAGTCAACGTTTACTCCTCCTAACCCCCAGTTTATAGAGAAAATAGTTTAACTCCTCCAAAAACCCCCCAGATTATCAAGTAAAAAACGTTAAAACCTCCTCCTAACCACCAATTATCAGAGAAACATCGTTTAACACCCCTCCTAAACCCCAGATTATCAGAGAAACAACTTAAAACATCCTCCTAAACCCCCAAATTACAAGAAAACTACTTAACATCCTCCAAAACCCCCTTTATCAGAGAAAACATATTTTTAAAACTCCTCCTAAACCCCAATATAAAGGTAACATCTTTAAATCCTCCTAAACCACCAGATTATCAGGAAAACAATTATTCACCCTCCAAACCCCAGATTATAAAGTAACTATTTAAAAACACCCCTCCAAAACCCCCAGTTTATCAATAACATACGTTTAAAAAATCCCCTAAACCCCAGATTACAAGAAACAACGTTAAAAACTCCTCCAAAACCACCAGTTTACAAGTAACTACAAAAAACATCCCCAAAACACCAATTACAGAGTAACATACGTTATAACATCCTCCAAACACCAATTACGAGTAAATACTTATAACATCCTCCAAACCACCAATTTCAGATAACATATGTTAAAACCTCCTAAACCCCCCCCCAGTTTAAAATCAATAACAATGTTTTAACATCTCCAAACCCCCCCCTTTTATTAGTAACAATTTTAAACTCCCCTAAACCCCCAGATATAAAGGTACCATATTTTATAACATCCCCAAACCCCCAATTTATCAAGAAACATCGTTAAAAACATCCTCCTAAACCACCAGATTTCAAGAAACAACTTTTTAACACCCCCCCAAAACCCCCCAAAATTATCAGAGTAACATATTTTATAAATCCTCCAAAACCCCAATTACGAGTACATATTTTATAACATCCTCCTAAACCCCCAAATTTAAAAGTAAAAACTTAAAACTCCTCCAAAACCACCAGATTATCAAGAAACATGGGTTATAGCATCCTCCAAAACCCCCAGATTATAAGAACAACGTTATAACATCCTCCTAAACCCCCAAATTATCAGAGAAAACAACGTTATAACTCCTCCAAAACCCACCAATTATCAAAAACATACTTTATAACATCCTCCTAAACCCCAAATTATCAGGTAACATCTTTTAACACCTCCAAAACCCCAAAATTATCAAGTAACTACTTTATAACATCCTCCTAAACCACCAATTACAAGTAACACCCTTAAAACTCCCCAAAACCACCAGATTATCAGAGTAACATCTTATAACATCCCCAAAACCCACCAATATCAGAGAAAACATTGTTTTCATCCTCCAAAACCCCCAAAAACAGAGTAACATTTTTTATAAATCCTCCTAACCCCCAAATTATAAGTAACAACTTTATAACACCCTCCAAACACCTTTATCAATAACATCTTTTATAAATCCCCAAACCCCCACCAATTTCAAGTAACATACGTTTAACATCCTCCAAAACCCCAGTTTATCAGATAAAAACGTTAAAACTCCTCCTAACCACCAATTTATCAAGAAACATACTTTAACCCCTCCAACCCCACCAGATTATCAGAAAACATATGTTAAAACTCCTCCAAAACCCACCAGATATCAGAGTAACTATTTTATAACATCCTCCAAACCCCCAATTATTAGAGTAAATACGTTTAACATCCCCTAACCACCAAATTTCAAGTACATACTTAAAAACTCCTCCTAAACCCCCAATTTCAGAGTACATCGTTATAACACCTCCAAAACCCCCAAATTTATCAAGTAACTACGTTTAACATCCTCCTAACCCCAGTTTAAAAGGGAAACATCTTTAACATCCTCCTAAACCACCAATTATCGGGTAACATACTTTATAACATCCCCAAAACCACCAGATATCAAGTAACATTGTTTAACCCTCCAAACCACCAGATTACAGAGAAACTATTTTTTTTAACATCCTCCTAAACATTTGTAATTTTTTTTGTCATTTAGCAGACACTCTTATCCAGAGTGCATACATATATATATTTTTTTCATACTGGTCCCCCGTGGGAAACGAACCCACAACCCTGACGTTGCAAACGCCATGCTCTACCAACTGATTATCACAGTAACATACGTGATAACATCCTCCTAAATCACTATTTTATTTGTATTTACCTGGGAAACCAGATGGTCATATTGTAGTCACCTCTGACGTCCTGAGTCTACACAGGTGGGCATCTGCAATGGACAGGTGTGTGCGTGTGGTGTGTGTGTGGTGTGTGTGCGTATGGTGTGTGTGTGTGTGTGTGTGGTGTGTGTGTGTGGTGTGTGCGTGTGGTGTGTGCGTGTGGTGTGTGTCGTGTGTGTGGTGTCTGTGTGTGGTGTGTTGTGTGGGTGTGGTGCGTGTGGTGTGTGCGTGTGGGTGGTGTGCGTGTGGTGTGTGTGTGTGTTGTGTGTGGTGTCTGTGTGTGGTGTGTGTGTGGTGTGTGCGTGTGGTGTGTGCGTGTGGTGTGTGTGTGGTGTGTGTGCGTGTGGTGCGTGTGGTGTGCGTGTGGGGTGTGTGTGTGTGTGTGTATGGTGTGTGTGTGTGCGTGTGGTGTGTGTGTGTGGTGTGTGTGTGGTGTGTGTGCATGTGGTGTGCGTGTGGTGTGTGTGTGTGTGTGTATGGTGTGTGTGTGTGCGTGTGGTGTGTGTGCATGTGGTGTGTGTGTGTGAGTGTAGACTCAGGACGTTAGAGGTGACTGCATAATGACCATCTGGTTTCATATAAACAAACACAAACACGTAATTGTGTTTCCGTCCCCCTATTTTCTCTTCTATTAATCAACACAACCCTGTTATCATCTGATATATGACCACCAGTACAATACAACCCTGTTACCATCTGTTATATATGACCACCAGTACAATACAACCCTGTTACCATCTGATATATATGACCACCAGTACAACACAACCCTGTTACCATCTGATATATATGACCACCAGTACAACACAACCCTGTTACCATCTGATATATATGACCACCAGTACAACACAACCCTGTTATCATCTGATATATATGACCACCAGTACAACACAACCTGTTACCATCTGTTATATATGACCACCAGTACAACACAACACAACCCTGTTACCATCTGTTATATATGACCACCAGTACAACACAACCCTGTTACCATCTGTTATATATGACCACCAGTACAACACAACCCTGTTACCATCTGTTATATATGACCACCAGTACAACACAACCCTGTTACCATCTGATATATATGACCACCAGTACAACACAACCCTGTTATCATCTGATATATATGACCACCAGTACAACACAACCTGTTACCATCTGTTATATATGACCACCAGTACAACACAACACAACCCTGTTACCATCTGATATATATGACCACCAGTACAACACAACCCTGTTACCATCTGATATATATGACCACCAGTACAACACAACCTGTTACCATCTGTTATATATGACCACCAGTACAACACAACCCTGTTACCATCTGATATATATGACCAACAGTACAACACAACACAACCCTGTTACCATCTGATATATATGACCACCAGTACAACACAACCCTGTTACCATCTGATATATATGACCACCAGTACAACACAACCTGTTACCATCTGTTATATATGACCACCAGTACAACACAACCCTGTTACCATCTGATATATATGACCACCAGTACAACACAACCCTGTTACCATCTGATATATATGACCACCAGTACAACACAACCTGTTACCATCTGTTATATATGACCACCAGTACAACACAACCCTGTTACCATCTGATATATATGACCACCAGTACAACACAACCCTGTTACCATCTGATATATATGACCACCAGTACAACACAACCCTGTTACCATCTGATATATATGACCACCAGTACAACAAAACCTGTTACCATCTGTTATATATGACCACCAGTACAAACACAACCCTGTTACCATCTGATATATATGACCACCAGTACAACACAACCCTGTTACCATCTGATATATATGACCACCAGTACAACACAACCCTGTTATCATCTGATATATATGACCACCAGTACAACACAACCCTGTTACCATCTGATATATATGACCACCAGTACAACACAACCCTGTTACCATCTGATATATATGACCACCAGTACAACACAACCCTGTTATCATCTAATATATATGACCACCAGTACAACACAACACTGTTACCATCTGTTATATATGACCACCAGTACAACACAACCCAGTTACCATCTGTTATATATGACCACCAGTACAACACAACCCTTTTACCATCTGTTATATATGACCACCAGTACAACACAACCCTGTTACCATCTGATATATATGACCACCAGTACAACACAACCCTGTTACCATCTGTTATATATGACCACCAGTACAACACCACCCTGTTACCATCTGTTATATATGACCACCAGTACAACACAACCCTGTTACCATCTGATATATATGACCACCAGTACAACACAACCCTGTTACCATCTGTTATATATGACCACCAGTACAACACAACCCTGTTACCATCTGTTATATATGACCACCAGTACAACACAACCCTGTTATCATCTGTTATATATGACCACCAGTACAACACAACCCTGTTACCATCTGTTATATATGACCACCAGTACAACACAACCCTGTTACCATCTGATATATATGACCACCAGTACAACACAACCCTGTTACCATCTGTTATATATGACCACCAGTACAACACAACCCTGTTATCATCTGAAATATATGACCACCAGTACAACACAACCCTGTTACCATCTGTTATATATGACCACCAGTACAACACAACCCTGTTACCATCTGTTATATATGACCACCAGTACAACACAACCCTGTTACCATCTGTTATATATGACCACCAGTACAACACAACCCTGTTACCATCTGTTATATATGACCACCAGTACAACACAACCTGTTACCATCTGATATATATGACCACCAATACATCACAACCCTGTTACCATCTGATATACAGTGGGGAAAAAAAGTATTTAGTCAGCCACCAATTGTGCAAGTTCTCCCACTTAAAAAGATGAGAGAGGCCTGTAATATTCATCATAGGTACACGTCAACTATGACAGACAAATTGAGAAGAAAACAATCCAGAAAATCACATTGTAGGATTTTTAATGAATGTATTTGCAAATGATGGTGGAAAATAAGTATTTGGTCACCTACAAACAAGCAATATTTCTGGCTCTCACAGACCTGTAACTTCTTAATTAAGAGGCTCCTCTGTCCTCCACTCGTTACCTGTATTAATGGCACCTGTTTGAACTTGTTATCAGTATAAAATACACCTGTCCACAACCTCAAACAGTCACACTCCAAACTCCACTATGGCCAAGACCAAAGAGCTGTCAAAGGACACCAGAAACAAAATTGTAGACCTGCACCAGGCTTGGAAGACTGAATCTGCAATAGGTAAGCAGCTTGGTTTGAAGAAATCAACTGTGGGAGCAATTATTAGGAAATGGAAGACATACAAGACCACTGATAATCTCCCTCGATCTGGGGCTCCACGCAAGATCTCACCCCGTGGGGTCAAAATGATCACAAGAACGGTGAGCAAAAATCCCAGAACCACACGGGGGGACCTTGTGAATGACCTGCAGAGAGCTGGGACCAAAGTAACAAAGACTACCTTCAGTAACACACTACGCCGCCAGGGACTCAAATCCTGCAGTGCGAGATGTGTCCCCCTGCTTAAGCCAGTACATGTCCAGGCCCGTCTGAAGTTTGCTAGAGTGCATTTGGATGATCCAGAAGAGGATTGGGAGAATGTCATATGGTCAGATGAAACCAAAATAGAACTTTTTGGTAAAAACTCAACTCGTCGTGTTTGGAGGACAAAGAATGATGAGTTGCATCCAAAGAACACCATACCTACTGTGAAGCATGGGGGTGGAAACATCATGCTTTGGAGCTGTTTTTATGCAAAGGGACCAGGACGACTGATCCGTGTAAAGGAAAGAATGAATGGGGCCATGTATCGTGAGATTTTGAGTGAAAACCTCCTTCCATCAGCAAGGGCATTGAAGATGAAACGTGGCTGGGTCTTTCAGCATGACAATGATCCCAAACACACCGCCAGGCAACGAAGGAGTGGCTTTGTAAGAAGCATTTCAAGGTCCTGGAGTGGCCTAGCCAGTCTCCAGATCTCAACCCCATAGAAAATCTTTGGAGGGAGTTGAAAGTCCGTGTTGCCCAGCGACAGCCCCAAAACATCACTGTTCTAGAGGAGATCTGCATGGAGGAATGGGCCAAAATACCAGCAACAGTGTGTGAAAACCTTGTGAAGACTTACAGAAAACGTTTGACCTGTGTCATTGACAATAAAGGTTATATAACAAAGTATTGAGAAACTTTTGTTATTGACCAAATACTTATTTTCCACCATAATTTGCAAATACATTCATTAAAAATCCTACAATGTGATTTTCTGGATTTATTTTTCTCATTTTGTCTGTCATAGTTGACGTGTACCTATGATGAAAATTACAGGCCTCTCTCATCTTTTTAAGTGGGAGAACTTGCACAATTGGTGGCTGACTAAATACTTTTTTCCCCCACTGTATATGACCACCAATACATCACAACCCTGTTACCATCTGATATATATGACCACCAGTACAACACAACCCTGTTACCATCTGATATATATGACCACCAGTACAACACAACCTGTTACCATCTGATATATATGACCACCAATACATCACAACCCTGTTACCATCTGTTATATATGACCACCAATACATCACAACCCTGTTACCATCTGATATATATGACCACCAGTACAACACAACCCTGTTACCATCTGTTATATATGACCACCAGTACAACACAACCCTGTTACCATCTGTTATATATGACCACCAGTACAACACAACCCTGTTACCATCTGATATATATGACCACCAGTACAACACAACACAACCCTGTTACCATCTGATATATGACCACCAGTACAACACAACCCTGTTACCATCTGTTATATATGACCACCAGTACAACACAACCCTGTTACCATCTGATATATGACCACCAGTACAACACAACCCTGTTACCATCTGTTATATATGACCACCAGTACAACACAACCCTGTTACCATCTGTTATATATGACCACCAGTACAACACAACCCTGTTATCATCTGTTATATATGACCACCAGTACAACACAACCCTGTTACCATCTGTTATATATGACCACCAGTACAACACAACCCTGTTACCATCTGTTATATATGACCACCAGTACAACACAACCCTGTTTACCATCTGATATATGACCACCAGTACAACACAACCCTGTACCATCTGTTATATATGACCACCAGTACAACACAACCCTGTTACCATCTGTTATATATGACCACCAGTACAACACAACCCTGTTATCATCTGTTATATATGACCACCAGTACAACACAACCCTGTTACCATCTGTTATATATGACCACCAGTACAACACAACCCTGTTACCATCTGATATATATGACCACCAGTACAACACAACCCTGTTACCATCTGATATATATGACCACCAGTACAACACAACCCTGTTATCCATCTGAAATATATGACCACCAGTACAACACAACCCTGTTACCATCTGTTATATATGACCACCAGTACAACACAACCCTGTTACCATCTGTTATATATGAACCACCAGTACAACACAAACCCTGTTACCATCTGTATATATGACCACCAGTACAACACAACCCTGTTACCATCTGTTATATATGACCACCAGTACAACACAACCCTGTTACCATCTGTTATATATGACCACCAGTACAACACAACCTGTTACCATCGGATATATATGACCACCAATACATCACAACCCTGTTACCATCTGATATATATGACCACCAATACATCACAACCCTGTTACCATCTGATATATATGACCACCAGTACAACACAACCCTGTTACCATCTGATATATATGACCACCAGTACAACACAACCTGTTACCATCTGATATATATGACCACCAATACATCACAACCCTGTTACCATCTGTTATATATGACCACCAATACATCACAACCCTGTTACCATCTGATATATATGACCACCAGTACAACACAACCCTGTTACCATCTGTTATATATGACCACCAGTACAACACAACCCTGTTACCATCTGTTATATATGACCACCAGTACAACACAACCCTGTTACCATCTGATATATATGACCACCAGTACAACACAACACAACCCTGTTACCATCTGATATATGACCACCAGTACAACACAACCCTGTTACCATCTGTTATATATGACCACCAGTACAACACAACCCTGTTACCATCTGATATATGACCACCAGTACAACACAACCCTGTTACCATCTGTTATATATGACCACCACTACAACACAACCCTGTTACCATCTGTTATATATGACCACCAGTACAACACAACCCTGTTACCATCTGATATATATGACCCCCAGTACAACACAACCCTGTTACCATCTGATATATATGACCCCCAGTACAAGACTAATCACTTCTGTGACGTGTGGCTTTGTGTCTCTTTGTGCCTCGAGTACTCTGCAGAGTAGACTCGTCTCTGTGTCTCTCTCTCTCTCTCTCCGTCTCCCACCCTCCCTATCTTCCTATTTCTCTCTCCCTCTCTCTCTCCCTCCCTCATCTCGCTTAGCTTAGCTCCTGCAGTAGTCAGTGTCAGCGGTCTGTGTGTCTGTTTGCTGAAGTCCAACTCACCCTTTAAAGTCTCCATTACGACTATATCTAAGGGTACTTAATACCAGGTCCTTGATGGGCTCTCACCCTTTAAAGTCTCCATTACGACTATATCTAAGGGTACTTAATACCAGGTCCTTGATGGGCTCTCACCCTTTAAAGTCTCCATTACGACTATATCTAAGGCTACTTAATACCAGGTCCTTGATGGGCCTCTCACCCTTTAAAGTCTCCATTACGACTATATCTAAGGCTACTTAATACCAGGTCCTTGATGGGCTCTCACCCTTTAAAGTCTCCATTACGACTATATCTAAGGCTACTTAATACCAGGTCCTTGATGGGCTCTCACCCTTTAAAGTCTCCATTACGACTATATCTAAGGGTACTTAATACCAGGTCCTTGATGGGCTCTCACCCTTTAAAGTCTCCATTACGACTATATCTAAGGGTACTTAATACCAGGTCCTTGATGGGCTATCTCCCAACCTCTCATGAGGCTCTGACACAGGGAGGCTGCTTTGACTGACAAGGCTCTGAACTCTCCCTCAGCAATCATGGCTCATGGTTTTCTCCCATTCCATTTTTACCCCTACACCCTTCCCCTTCGGTGTTTGCAGATCTGAAGGGACTGGATATATTTCAGCAATATGGTCATGGTAAGAGAAGAGAGATTTTCAGTTTGGAACCAAGCCCCTCTCCTCAGAGGTATCATCACAGCCTAATTAGGCCAGGCCAGGACATGGGCTGTGGGGAAACAGAGTAGGAGTCTTCAGGGGCTGCTGGGGGGTTTGAGGATGACTCACAGCTCTTCCTAAAACCAGTTTGATTTGACCTGGTGGCTAGGACTACAACATCTCATTTCCAATATGTAGTTCTGATAGAGGTGATGATAGACGAGGTGTGTGTGTGTGTTCGTCGGTACCTACGGTATAACAGTGTTTCCTCTCTCCAGACGAGGTAAGCAGGGAGGCGATGGAACAGGCAGTTCAGCTCAGAGTTGGAGAGCTCATCATCATCGTAGTGGTGCTCGTCATGTGGGCAGGTAACTCGACTGCAACACAACCACAGCACAACACAACCACAGTCTGATCACAACCACACTGACCATGACTTCAGGACAGAATTAGTATAATATTAGTGGCGCTCGTCATGTTGGTATATGGCCGGACCGCTACACAACCATATCACATCAAATCACAACCACAACACAACAGAACCATTTCCATGCCTCAATGTGGGCAGGTAACCAACCCACAATACAACCACAACACAACAGAACCACTTCCATGCCTCATGAGGGCAGGTAACCAGCCCACAATACAACCACAACACAACAGAACCACTTCCATGCCTCATGAGGGCAGGTAACCAAACCACAACACTATGGGGATCCATAATAAACCCCTTGGCAGGAACTAATGGGGATCCATAATAAATACAAATACAAAACACAACCATAACACACATACAGTTGAAGTCGGATGTTTACATACACTTAGGTTGGAGTCATTAAAACTCGTTTTTCAACCACTCCACAAATTTCTTGTTAACAAACTCTAGTTTTGGCAAGTCGGTTAGGTCATCTACTTTGTGCATGACACAAGTACTTTTTCCAACAATTGTTTACAGACAGATTATTTCACTTATAATTCACTGTATCACAATTCCAGTGGGTCAGAAGTTTACATACACTAAGTTGACTGTGCCTTTAAATAGCTTGGAAAATTCCAGAAAATGATTGACATCTTTTGAGTAAATTGGAGGTGTACCTGTGGATGTATTTCAAGGCCTACCTTCAAACTCAGTGCCTCTTTGCTTGACATCATGGGAAAATCAAAATAAATCAGCCAAGACCTCAGAAAAAAAAAGTAGACCTCCACAAGTCTGGTTCATCCTTGGGAGCAATTTCCAAACGCCTGAAGGTTCCACGTTCATCTGTACAAACAATTGTACGCAAGTATAAACACCATGGGACCACGCAGCCATCATACCGCTCAGGAAGGAGACGCATTCTGTCTCCTAGTGATGAACGTACTTTGCAAATCAATCCCAGAACAACAGCAAAGGAACTTGTGAAGATGCTGGAGGAAACAGGTACAAAAGTACCTATATCCAGAGTAAAACGAGTCATATATCGACATAACCTGAAAGGCCGCTCAGCAAGGAAGAAGCCACTGCTCCAAAATCGCCATAAAAAATCCAGACTACGGTTTGCAACTGCACATGGGGACAAAGATCGTACATTTTGGAGAAATGTCCTCTGGTCTGATGAAACAAAAATAGAACTGTTTGGCCATAATGACCATCGTTATGTTTGGAGGAAAAAGGGGTGGCTTGCAAGCCGAAGAACACCATCCCAACCGTGAAGCACGGGGGTGGCAGCATCATGCTGTGGGGGTGCTTTGCTGGAGGAGGGACTGGTGCACTTCACAAAATAGATAGTATTATGAGGAAGGAATTATGTGGATATATTGAAGCAACATCTCAAGACATCAGTCAGGAAGTTAAAGTTTGGTCGCAAATGGGTCTTCCAAATGGACAATGACCCCAAGCATACTTCCAAAGTTGTGGCAAAATGACTTAAGGACAACAAAGTCAAGGTATTGGAGTGGCCATCACAAAGTCCTGACCTCAATCCTATAGAAAATGTGTGGGCAGAACTGAAAAAGCGTGTTAGAGCAAGGAGGCCTACAAACCTGACTCAGTTACACCAGCTCTGTTAGGAGGAATGGGCCAAAATTCACCCAACTTATTGTGGGAAGCTTGTGGAAGGCTACCCGAAACGTTTGACCCAAGTTAAACAATTTAAAGGCAATACTACCAGATACTAATTGAGTGTGATGAAAGAAATAAAAGCTGAAATAAATCATTCTCTCTACTATTATTCTGACATTTCACATTCTTAAAATAAAGTGGTGATCCTAACTGACCTAAGACAGGGAATTTTTACTAGGATTAAATGTCAGGAATTGTGAAAATCTGCGTTTTAAATCTATTTGGCTAAGGTGTATGTAAACTTCCGACTTCAACTGTATTTACTTTGTTGTTGATTTCATTTAATCCTAAACCTAGACTAATATACCAGAGAGGTATACTAAAAAGCACCAGAGGGGTATACTGAAAAGCAAGATCATTGAGTTAGCCAGCTGACTTTGATAAGCAACCAGAAATAACTATTGAAAGCTAAACTTAGATATGTATATTTGTTTTTTGAATCAATTAGACCCTGCCCATTTCCAGCTTATCTTTCTAGAAAATTCAAAGTTATATTGATCCTGTTTTGTACCCCTCAGTTTCATCTACACACTCTGCTATGAATGCATACAGCATACTCTCTACCACTCTCACTGTGGGATGAATCTCTGTTACTGTGCCTCAAGTACTCTGCAGAGGAGACTATAGCTACTACTTCTCTTTTTCTCTCTCTCAAGAGATTGGATAGTAGAGGAGATGAGATATAGCGCGTAGCGAGAGAGCGATAGCTCGATCTAGGTATCTAGAGATATGTGACTAGAGAGAAGAGCGTAGTCGAGTAGATGATCGCTCTGTCTGTCGTGTCTACTAGATCGCTCTCTATATAGATCTATAGCTATTGCTCCTCATATATCTATCTTCTCTCTCCTCTAGTCTCTCTCTCTCTCTCTCTCTCCTCTCTCTCTCCTCTCTCTCTCGCTCTCTCTCTTTCGGCTGTGCTCTCTCTCTCTCTCTCTCTGGCTCTCTCTTGCTCTCTGTATTTCTCTCAATTAAATTCAAATGAAGGGCTTTATTGACATGGGAAACATATGTTTACATTGCCAAAGCAAGTGAAAAAGATAATTAACAAAAGTGAAGTAAACAACAAAAAATGTATTACTCTCACAAATGTTCAAAAGTAATAGAGACATTTCAAAATGTCATTTTTGGCTATGTACTGTGTTATAACGATGTGCAAATAGTTAAAGTACAAAAGGGAAAGTAACTAAACATAAATATGGGTTGTATTTACAATGGTGTTTGTTCTTCACTTGTTGCCCTTTTCTTGTGGCAACAGGTCATTAATCTTGGTGCTGTGATGGCACACTGTGGTATTTCACCCAATAGTATGGGAGTTTATCAAAAATTGATTTTTTTTCCAGTTCTTTGGGGGTCTTTTTAATCTGAGGGAAATATGTCTCTCTAATATGGTCATACATTTGGCAGAAGGTTAGAAAGTGCAGCTCAGTTTCCACCTCATTTTGTGGGCAGTGTGCACATAGCCTGTCTTCTCTTGAGAGCCAGGTCTGCCTACAATGGCCTCTCTCAATAGCAAGGCTATGCTCACTGAGTCTGTACATAGTCCAAGCTTTCATTAATTTAGGGTCAGTCACAGTGGTCAGGTATTCTGCCATTGTGTACTCTCTGTTTAGGGCCAAATAGCATTCTAGTTTGCTCTGTTTTTGGTAAATTCTTTCCAATGTGTCAAGTAATTATCTTTTTATGATTTGTGTGAGTCTAATTGTGTTGCTGTCGCTGTCCTGGGGCTCTGTGGGGTCTGTTTGTGTTTGTGAACAGAGTCCCAGGACCGGCTTGCTTAGCGGACTCTTCTCTAGGTTAATCTCTCTGTAGGTGATGGCTTTGTTATGGAAGGTTTGGGAATTACTTGATTTTAGGTGGTTGTAGAATTTAACGGCTCTTTTCTGGAATTTGAAAATTACCAGGTATCGGCCTAATTCTGCTCTGCATGCATTATTTGGTGTTTTACGTTGTACATGGAGGATGTTTTTGCAGAATTCTGCATGCAGAGTCTCAATTTGGTGTTTGCCCCAATTTGTGAATTCTTGGTTGGTGAGCGGACCCCAGACCTCACAACCATAAAGGGCAATGGGTTCTATAACTGATTCAAGTATTTTTAGCCAGATTCTAATTGGGATGTCGAATTTATGTTCCTTTTGATGGCGTAGAAGGCCCTTCTTGCCTTGTCTCTCAGATCGTTCAGAGCTTTGTGGAAGTTACCTGTGGTGCTGATGTTTAGGCTGAGGTAGGTATAGTTTTTTTCTGTGCTCTAGGTCAACAGTGTCTAAATGGAATTTGTATTTGTGGTCCTGGCAGCTGTATCATTTTTAGAACACCATTATTTTTGTCTTACTGTGATTTACTGTCAGGGCCCAGGTCTGACAGAATCTATGCAGAAGATCTAGGTGCTGCTGTAAGTCCTCCTTGGTTGTTGACAGAAGCACAGATCATCAGCAAACAGTAGACATTTGACTTCAGATTCTAGTAGGGTGAGGCCGGGTGCTGCAGACTGTTCTATTGCCCTCGCCAATTCATTGATAATATGTTGAATAGGGTGGGGCTCAAGCTGCATCCCATGTCTCACCCACGGCCACTGCGGAAAGCAAATGTGTGTGTTTTTTTGCCAATTTTAACCGCACACTTGTTGTTGTGTACATGGATTTTTATCATGTCATATGTTTTCCCCCCAACACCACTTTCCATCAATTTGAATAGCAGACCCCTCATGCCAAAATGAGTCAAATTAATTCCAAAACAAAGACTTTGCCTTTGTTTTGGCTTGTTTGTTTGTTCAATTAGGGTGTGCAGGGTGAATACGTGATCTGCGACGGTTAATTTGGTTAAAAAGCCAATTTCCCATTTGCTCGTACATGTTGACGATAGATCACGGTCAGTTATTGGGGGTCAAATTTGTTCTACTTGCGGATTGGGGTGATCAGTATTGGTTGCCATATGTGGAAGAGCAAGAGCTAGGGAGATGTTAAAGGGTTTGATATACCAAGTGGAATTGAGAGGTCGGGGATAGGGTAGAATGGCATTTCGGATACCATCGATATCTCTAGCAGGAGTGAGAGAGAGAGAGAGAGGAGAGAGAGAGAGGAGAGGAGAGAGACAGAGAGAGAGAGAGGAGAGAGAGAGAGAGAGGAGAAGAGAGAGAGAGAGAGAGCAAGAGAGAGAGAGAGAGGGAGAAGAGGAGAGAGAGAGAGAGAGAGAGAGAGAAGAGAGAAGAGAGAGAGAGAGACGAGAGAGAGAGAGAATTCTCTCTCTCTCTCTTTGGCTCTATCTTGCTCCTGTTTTTTAAATTGTAAATTCAAATGAAGGCTTTATTGCATGGAAAACATATGTTTTACATTGCCAAAGCAGTGTGAAAAAAGCTTAATAACAAAAGTGAAGTGAAACAACAAAAAGATACTCTCACAAATGCAAAAGTAAAGAGACATTTCAAAATGTCATTTTTTGGCTAGTGTACTGAGTTATAACGAGTGTGCAAATAGTTAAAGTACAAAAGGGAAAGTAAATAAACAAAATAGGGTTGTGTATTTACAATGGTGTTTGTTCTTCACTTGTGCCCTTTCTTTGTGGCAAACAGTCATTATCTTGGTGCTGTGATGGCACAATGTGGTATTACCAATAGATATGGAGTTTATCAAAAAATTGATTTTTTTTTTCAGTTCTTGGGGGCTTTTAATCTGAGCGGGAAATATGTCTATCTAATATGGCGTCATTAAATTTGGCCAGAAGTTAGAGAGGGCAGCTCAGTTTAAACTTCATTTGTGGGCAGTGTTCACTAGCTGTCTTCTCTTGAGAAGCCAGGTCTGCCTTACATGGCCTCCTCAATAGCAAGGCTATTGCCACCGGCGTTGTACATGTACCAAGCTAGAGTTCATTAATTTAGGGTCAGTCACAGTGGCAGTATTCTGCCATTGTGTACTCTCGTGTAGGCCCAAATAGCATTTAGTTTGCTCTGTTGTTTTGGTAAATGTCTTTCCAAAGTGTCAAGTCGTAATTATCATTTTACTGATTTTGTTAGGGTTAATTGTGTTGCTGTTTGCTGGCCTGGGGCTCTGTGGGGTCTGTTGGTGTTTTGGAACAGAGTTCCCAGGACCGGCTTGCTTAGCGGGAAAAAAAATTCCCTTATATGGTTAATCTCTCTGAGGTGATGGCTTTTGGTTATGGAAAGGTTTGGGAATTACTTGATTTTTAGGGTGGTTGTAGAATTTAACGGCTCTTTCTGGAATTTGAAAATTACCAGGTATCGGCCTCATAATTCTGCTCTGCATGCATTATTTGGTGTTTTACGTTGTACATGGAGGATGTTTTTGCAGAATTCTGCATGCAGAGTCTCAATTTGGTGTTTGCCCCAATTTGTGAATTCTTGGTTGGTGAGCGGACCCCAGACCTCACAACCATAAAGGGCAATGGGTTCTATAACTGATTCAAGTATTTTTAGCCAGATCCTAATTGGGATGTCGAATTTATGTTCCTTTTGATGGCGTAGAAGGCCCTTCTTGCCTTGTCTCTCAGATCGTTCAGAGCTTTGTGGAAGTTACCTGTGGTTGCTGATGGTTTAGGCCTGAGGTAGGTATAGTTTTTTTCTGTGCTCTAGGTCAACAGTGTCTAAATGGAATTTGTATTTGTGGTCCTGGCAGCTGTATCATTTTTAGAACACCATTATTTTTGTCTTACTGTGATTTACTGTCAGGGCCCAGGTCTGACAGAATCTATGCAGAAGATCTAGGTGCTGCTGTAAGTCCTCCTTGGTTGTTGACAGAAGCACCAGATCATCAGCAAACAGTAGACATTTGACTTCAGATTCTAGTAGGGTGAGGCCGGGTGCTGCAGACTGTTCTATTGCCCTCGCCAATTCATTGATATATATGTTGAATAGGGTGGGGCTCAAGCTGCATCCCTGTCTCACCCCACGGCCCTGCGGAAAGAAATGTGTGTGTTTTTTGCCAATTTTAACCGCACACTTGTTGTTTGTGTACATGGATTTTATCATGTCATATGTTTTCCCCCCAACACCACTTTCCATCAATTTGAATAGCAGACCCTCATGCCAAAATGAGTCAAATTAATTCCAAAACAAAGACTTTGCCTTTGTTTTGGCTTGTTTGTTTGTCAATTAGGGTGTGCAGGGTGAATACGTGATCTGTCGTACGGTAATTTGGTAAAAAGCCAATTTCCCATTTGCTCAGTACATTGTTGACGCATATATCACGGTAGTTATTGGGGTCAAATTTGTCTCCACTTTTGTGGATTGGGGTGATCAGTCCTTGGTTCCAAATATTGTGGAAGATGCCAGAGCTGAGGATGATGTTAAAGGGTATAGCCAATTGAAGTTGTGGCTAGGTTATTTTATTAATTTAAGTAGGAGAAAATTTATATAGCATAGATAGAGAGTAGAGAGTAGACTATATAGTGTATATACTAGCTAGATCTCATTAGAGATAGAGAGATAGAAGAGAGAGAAGAGAGAGAGAGCTCTTAAGAATCTCGCTTCTCTTCTCTCTCTCTCTATCTCTCTCTCTTCTCTCTCTCTCTCGCTCTTCTCTACATCATGCTCTGCTTTCTTTTCAGATCTCATCAAATTTCAATTCCATTCAAAGGGATTTATTGATGGGGAAAGGAAACCAACGTTTACACCAAGCAAGGTGTGAAATAACAAGAACAGGAAGGGAAAATAACACGGTAAAATAAACAATAAAAAAAGAATAGTAAAACATTTACTCGGGTCTATTCGAGTCTATAGAGATGCTATCTATAGATGCAGTGTCAATAAGTATTATTGAGGTCTCGTGATATGCTCTGGTTACATAAGTATACAGTCAGGACAATAATGGTGGTTAGTTTATCTACTTAGTCATCTCTCTCTCTTCGCTCTCTCTCTCTCTCCGCTCTCTATTCTCTGCTCCTCTCTCTCTCTGCTCTCTCTCTCTCGGGTGTGGAAAAAACAACAATCAGAGACAGACAGGAGACTGAATAATGAAGTAGCCTGGTTAAAACCCGTTCCTCCATTCCTCTTAATTCCTTCCTTCCTTCTTCATTCGGCCTCAGTCCTCCTTCCTTCCTTCCTTCTTCCTCATTCCTTCCTTCCTTCCCTCTCATCTCCCTTCAATCCACCTCCTCTCTCCTCTCATTCTCTCCCTCTCAGGTGTGATCCTCCTGTTCTGTCGTCAGTATGACATCATCAAAGACAACGAGCCCAACAACAACAAAGCCAAGACCTCGTCCGAGTGCAGTACGCCCGAACACCCACAGGGGGGGCTACTGCGCAGCAACCTCTGAAACCAGCCCCCACCGGCCACTCACCTATATGGCAATACCCTCTAAGCCTATTCCTCAGGACAGGTGAGGCTACACAGCCAACCAGAAGCCTCATACCTAGGGCTGCATCCCGATTCTCCAAACTTCTCCAGAAATGTGCACTTGCACACGCCCTGTCACGACAATGGTAGAGACTCCTTCCAGCTAATGCTTACACAAATCCATGACGGGCAGTATGCAAGTAAAAGTTTGGAGAATCGGGACGCAGCCCTAGTTATGAGGGTTCTGGTTGTATCCACAAAACCTCAAAACCTACACCACCAAGTAGTTGAGTCTGAATGCTATTCAACTGACCTGTCTATTTGTTTCTGTTGTCACACACAGATCCTGAGACCAACAGAACCACTGAAACCATTCAGAACCCTCCCTACAACAACAGAAACTACACCAGGACTAATACTAAGACCAGAATGTAACCCAGCACTCATTGATAAAGCCATGAGCAGAGTCAGACAAAGACCAGATTCACAAAACACTTCTTACACAAAAACTAAACAACCTTCTTAAGGAAAAAAAATAAGAAGTTCATAAGATAGTTCGTAAGTGCAATTCCTCAACAATATCTTAAGGTTTAATGTTTTTCTTACGAACTTCTCAAATAGCTTCTTACTAATCTTCTTAAGATGTTTGTTGCTAGGCAACCGATTTAGCTAGCTATCTAGCTGGCAATGGCAATCATATAGCATATTTCGTACTGAGATTACTGTTCTAAAACATGTTCTTGGGTTGAAAATAATCAATACTGAAACTTTCAGATTAAGTTTGTGAGGGAATTAAACATGTTCAATTGCTTTCATGAGCTTATTCTCTCACTACCCTGAGTTTAAGACAAGGGTTTCAAAACATTTCCAATAACTTTATTTTCAAGAATCCAATTTGTTTTTGCTTAAGGATAAACATAAGAAATAGCACAATAAATTTTTCAAGAGCCTTTTTGAGGAATAGCAACTTTGCTTAACTTTCTTCATAAGTCTATAGTTAAGAAAAAAATGGCAGTTAAGAAGAAGTTTCTTCTTAAGAAGGTTTTGTGAATCTGGGCCCAGTTGTCTTCGAAGCAAACATAATCTGTTCATTGCCACACTAATAAGGGGGAACTATTTTGAATTTAGGAAGCCCCTGGTTCCTGGAAACTGTGTGGCCAATGGATTGAAAATGGCTGACAATGGATCCAAAATGGCCACCGGTCAACATCTTGAGCCTGGATCACCAACTGTCTGAATGACAGTATGTACCATCCATTTGGAAACATTTGGAAACGTTGGCACATATTGAACATGACCCCTGGTTTCAGAGTGGCCTGACTGACGTCCATGAGGCTGGGATGTGTTTGTTTGGTTCCGAGCGAGAGGCCGTGCATGTCGTCCGCAACATGACGATCACCACTACGATGATGATGAGCTCTCCAGCTCCGAGCTAAGAATCCTTACACCATCTCCTCCACCAATCAGCACCTCAGAGACTACAGCACAGCCCCGCCCAGGAACCCAGCGCAGCCAATCACAACAGCACAACCTGAACATCTGCAACATAATGACTTCCCCTCCTCCTCTTTCTCTTCCCTGGGCTGAACCTTGTTCCCTTGTTAGTTTACGTCATCGTATGCATTCTGAAAGATAAAATCTGAGTACTGTTTTTACGACGGCTCGAATCAGAGTCAGGGAGAAGACTAGCTGGAGACCCTATCCCCTATCCCCTATCCCCTATGTAGTGCACTAAGTTTTTGCCAGAAACAAGGCCTTAAACAGCCTTAATCAGAGCAGATGGAGAGGGACACAACCGAGTGGTGGACACACTCACACACACACACACACACACACACACACACTCACACACACACAGAGCACACACACACACCACACACACACACACACACACACACACACACACACCACACACACAACACACACACACACACACAGAGCACACACACACAGCACACACACACCACACACACACACACAACACACACACCACACACACACACAACACCACACAACACACACACCACACACACACACACACACTCACACACACACACACACTCACAATCACACACACACACACACACACACACACACACAGAGCACACACACACACACTCACACACAGAGCACACACACACACACACTCACACACACGCACACGGGAAGAGACACATCTCAGAGAGCCGTTAAAGACCCGGTGTGCCAGAGAGACGGCCATTACTTTCCCATCTCCATCATCCATTTAGCTAATGTGCTGAACCCTTACCCCAATGCCCATCTCTCTCTCTCTCTCTCTCTCTCTCTCTCTCTCTCTCTCTCTCTCTCATCTCTCTCTCTCTCTATTCTCTAATTTATACTTGCCTCAGCTTTCCATCCTTCTATCTTTCTGTCTTTCTCCATGTCTGCACTTCCCCTTTCTCTCTCTCATGGAACCTCCCCTCAACCCATCTCTCAACCTCCCTCTCCTCTCTCCCTCTCCCCATCACCCATCTCTCAACCTCCCTCTCTTTTTCCCCTCTTTTCCCCTCACATACTCCCTCGCCCTGAAAACCATCTCTCTCTCCTCGCTTGCTTTTCCACCAGGTCCTGCACACTCGTTTATCAATCTCTCCTCTCTCCCTCTCCCTCTCTCCTTCTCCCCTATCTCTCTCCCCTCCCTCTCCTCTCTCTCCCTCTCCTCTCTCTCCTCTCTCCCTCACCTCTGTCTCCCTTTCCTCGCTCTCCCTTTCCTCGCTCTCCCTCTCCTCTCTCTCCCTCTCTCCTCTCTCCCTCTCCTCCTCGCTCCCTCTCCTCCTCTCTCCCTCTCCTCCTAGCTCCCTCTCCTCCTCTCCCCCTCTCCCCGCTCTCCCCCTCCACTGTTTATTTCCCTTCTGTTTCTCCTCAGTTCTCTCCTGCTCTATCACTCTTCTGTTTCCACATCAACACTGTTTTGTTTGAGCAAACAGAAGGAGAGATGTTTAGATGGAGGGAGAATGATGCATGAAGAGAGTAGAGAGAGAGAGAGAGAGAGAGGAGAGGGAGAGAGGAAAGAGGCCTTGCTATTGAGAAAGGCCGCCGTAGGCAGACCTGGCTCTCAAGAGAAGACAGGCTATGTGCACACTGCCCACAAAATGAGGCGGAAACTGAGCTGCACTTCCTAACCTCCTGCCAAATGTATGACCATATTAGAGACACATATTTCCCTCGGATTACAGCCATCCACAAAGAATTCGAAAACAAATCAAATTGTAATAAACTCCCATGTCTATTGGGTGAAATACCACAGTGTGCCATCACAGCATCAAGATTTGTGACCTGTTGCCACAAGAAAATGGTAACCAGTGAAGAACAAACACCATTGTAAATACAACCCATATTTATGTATATTTATTTCTCCCATTTGTACTTTAACTATTTGCACATCGTTATAACACTGTACATAGACATAAAATGACATTTGAAATGTCTCTATTCCTTTTGAACATTTGTGAGTGTAATGTTCACTGTTAATATTTATTGTTTATTTCACTTTTGTTTATTATCTATTTCACTTGCTTTGGCAATGTACACATATGTTTCCCATGCCAATAAAGCCCTTAAATTGAAATTGAATTGAATTGAGAGAGAGAAAGTGAGAGAGAGCGAGAGAGAGCGAGAGAGAAGAGAGAGACCTACTCAACAGTGGCAATAAGCATCTATGCACTATGACTTGCAGCAGCCACAATATTTCCAAGCAATGTTCTGCTACATTACCCAGCTTTACAGCTATTATGCAGAGAAACACCATCAGACCTGAGAAAGCTAGCCAGTCACACACACACACACACACACATTCACACATTCACACACACACACACAGTCTTGTACAGCTAACCTTGTGGGGACACACAATTCAGTCCCATTCAAAATCCTATTTTTCCTAACCCTAAACCTAACCCTAATTCTTACCCTAACCCTAAACCAGAAACCTAACCTTAACCCAAACCCTAAAACTAACCCTAGCTTCTAACCCTAACCCTTAACATAATTATAACCCTAACACTAATTCTAACCTTAACCCTAAACCCCCAAGAAATAGCATTTGACCTCGTGGGGACTAACAAAATGTCCCCAGTTGGTCAGATTTTTGTTGTTTACTGAGTCCCCACAAGATTAAACACGTCCACATCTGCAGCCAACACACACACACACACACACACACACACACACACACACTTTGTTGACCTAAATCACTTATCTGTGAGTGGTTGTCAGTTTAAGCCCTGAATGGGGACACAGACACCTTTCTATTTGTAGCTTTCTTCACCCCTTCCTGCAATCCTTTTGACAGTAAAACCTTCACTGAATGACAGAGAGCTGGTTTAATACCTTATTTTCTTCTAGACTGCGGAGTACAACTTTAATGTAATGTTTGGAGTGCATGTGGTGTTGCGTGGCTGAGCTTTACAGGTGAATCCTCATTTCCACTACTCTAGTCACATCAATATGACGTGGAAATGTGACTTAAGTGGGAGTTGGGATTGGCCCTTTAGTTCCTCCTTCTTCACCTCTGTGTTCTCTGTCATCTTCGTTATATTGTAGGTGTGTTGAGTTGAAGAAGGCTGGACAGAGCCCGGACACGCACGCACACGCGCAGTTGTGTTGCTCTGAGCCGAAGTCAAACGGACATATGCAGAGGTGACAGGAACCAGGTCTGATAAGCCAGACAGATCCCTCTCTCTCGCTGTCTCTCTCTCCCTCCCTCCCTCCCTCCCACTCTCTCTCTCCCCCCACACCTCTCTCTCTTTCTGTCTCCGCATGACTATGCTCAGCAGTAGTTCAAGGTGAAAATCTAATGAGGGATGAGAGAATACTGGCAGAGAGAGAGAGAGAGAGAGAGAGAGAGAGAGAGAGAGAGAGAGAGAGAGAGAGAGAGAGCGAGAGAGAGAGAGAGAGAGAGAAAATGGATAGGCCCCATCCAGAAACAATCACTAGCCCCTTCCCCCTAGATACTTGTTT